ATATATATATATATATATATATATATATATATATATATATATATATATATATATATATATATATATATATATATTCCTTTGGGATGGATGATGAATTCCAGAGTGAGATGAGCTTTCCTCCAAGCCTTCCTTCTTTGCCAGCTTCTGATACAGATAACATTAAAAAAAATGCATCCGTAATGTCAAAGGGAGTGGTCAAAGCATGCTTTAGTATTGAAATAAGCAATTTGATCAATGCATCATTCAAAGTGCCAAATAAAATCAGTTAAAGTACTGTCCCAAGAGTTATTTCAATGTTTTGTTTTCCAACACATTCTCATTGCATTCCTTTTGAAAGGGACAAATAAAAAATGGCAAAATAACTGTATCTATAAGGATTCAGTAAGAAAATGCAGATAAACATTCTGCCCCCAGGCTTCTTGTCATCTTAAAAAAAGAAAGCAATGGCAGGGCAAACTCTGAAAATAAACCATCAGGTGAACAGATCACTTTTCTCCTGAAACAAGTTTTAAGGGATTGGAACAGCAACCACAGGGTTGACCTAAAGTTAAAATTGAGATTCATATAAACATTTCTATCAACAGCAGGAAACTAAAATAACTTGGTGATTATTAGCAAATGTCTTGTGGTAGAGGGATGTTTTTACACTTTATCTGTCCGTAGGTATCGCCTTAAGTAAAATTCAACATCAGTTCAGAAAATCTCATTCAATAATAAATGTTGAACAGTGTAATTCCTCAAGGGTTTCTGCATATGGCAATACAGATGCAGTGGAGAATACTTCTTAACCATAACCAGTTTCTCTTATTTAAACGGTGAATCTTAGTATAATGAATGTTGATACTCTTCTGCTATTGATAGGGAGGGGAAAAAATGGCCCCTTCAGGGGCTCTGCAAAATGTTTCTTGTGGTCTGGTCCTTGTTTGTAAGCCATATTTTGATAATCTGAGGTTCTCTGAAAAATAACGGGAGACAACCCTGGAGTGACTTTTTATTCAATAATTTGGGAACCAATCCAAAATTTATCAATAAATGAGTTACTGAAGCTATTTTATTCAGAAGTCAAACTTTTCACTGAATAATAAAAAATAATATTTATTAAATACAAACTTAATAAATAACAATATAAAAAAGAATGTAATCATTTTCAGTCACTAAAATTCAGTGCCAGTAATATATAAAATAGATACAATCTTGCACATCTTGTCTTGCACTTTCTGTAAATATGAGTGTAAGTTCCTGCTTGGACAATATTAATGCAATGTCCTTTTTAAAGATGTGTAATGACATTGTTGAAAATTAAATCTGTGCCTTCTAAGTTAACACGTGGTTTCCTATAGAGAAGTTCCCACAGAGAAGTGTCACTTGCAAAGTTATTTCTGTATCGTGTATTAAAATTTGCAATAACATGCTGAAGTATTATAAGATACTGTCCAGATGCATGCCCAGTTGCAAAAAAATACTGGGCCAAAATAAAAAAATGGATTGAAGAAATAATAGATCAACCGGTAGACTGGAAACCAGAGATCTTTTTGCTGGGTATCTTAAACAGGAAATATAGTAAAGAAATACGGTATTTAATTCTACATATAATAACAGCAGCTAGAATAACATATGCACAGTTCTGGAAAAATGAGAA